CCTCCTGCATGCCCCCCACTGGGGATGGAGCTTCTAAACCACGCATGTACCCTTGACCAGAATCGAATCTGGGACCCTTCAATCCACAGGCCGACGCTCTGTCCACTGAGCCAAACCAGCCAGGAAAAGGTCTTAACCTCTTAACCTGATTCTGCCCATGTTTCCAGGTCCTTCTCTCCTATTTATTTCTTGTTTACTTTTAAATTCCCTGCACACCTTCCTCCTGATAGAATGGTTCACTGAGGCTGGAGGTGGGTGTGTGGCAAGATCATGGTATACAGCAGGTGCTCAGGAAGCGCAGGTGTGGCCTGAGTTAGGGGGCTGGGGTGGTGGTAGTGGGCAGCACGGGCAGGGCAGTCACGGAGACCATGAGCTTCTCAGCCTGGAAGCTGGCAAGGCCCTTCTGCTGGTAGACAGCCTCATGGATGAACGCGGGGTACCCAGTGGACTCCCCCTCCCAGAGCACATCCTCAGCGCTGAACCTCTGGAAGGTGGATGTACCGGGCCCCAGGGTCTGAAAGCCTCAGTCCCTGGTGGAAGAGCTGGGTGGAGTCAGAAGCTGCGGCCACCAAGGCCCTCAACCTGGTGCAAAGGTCGGCCCGCAGCACTCGGAGGCGGGGGCCCAGCTCCAGGACTGGGGACCAGGAGGGAACAGGTCAGGCAGGCATCCCAGACACTTGGACACTCCAGACCCCAGGCCTCTGACACCGTCCATCACCTCTCTGCCCATTTCTCCCACCCTCACCCATGGGCTCCTCTGTGTTCCTGAAAAACAATTGCATTTCTCTCTCTATTGATTCTGTGTTCCTGAAAAACAATTGCATTTCTCTCTCACTTTATTGATTTTTTATTGAGAGGGAGAGGGAGAAACATCAATGTGAGAGCAAAACATTGACTTCTGTCAACCACCCCGTGAAGCACACTAACAAACCAGAGCTTTAAACCTGCAGTTATTGCCCGGGTGGAGCTGAGTGTGACATAAACACAGAAGGCCCAGCCACTGTGGGACCCTGGTTGAGCGTTGACCCAGAAACCGGAAGGTCACTCCCTTGCTTCCTGCCTGAAGTGGATATAGTATCCGATACAGCAGCAACCATCTTGCAAACATGAGGCA